GGTACATTTTATCATGGCATATAGACTTAGGAAAGTTTTTACCCTTTTGCATATCACTTTGCATTAGTTACATTTACACGTTTTCTTTCTTTTCATATAGATGGGTTTTTGTTAGGTTTGCATGATTGCATATGACATATAGATATAGGTTCATATAGGTTCACGTGCATACCTCGAAAACCCGTTTTGAACATCATTTGGAAGATTTTTGGGATGATAGAGTAGAAATATCTTGATGATCTAGTGACTTTGTAGAGCGTGGTTGAACCGTGTCGAATTGATAGTTCTCCAGACTTTCTATATATAGTTTGTGGGATGAGGTTGCTGTTTGGAACCTACGGAGTTGATACGACCATATCCAGGTTATATATTTCTTGTAGAACCTTTTCCGAGTCTTGCAGGTCGATGAAATCTAGTTCAACAATTGCCTTGGGAAAATAAAGCATCTCGACACTCCGCTGTCAAAATCTCGTCAACGAAAATCGTTCGAGAACATGAGTGCATCGATTGATGGTTCGGGTCTAAGTTGTGGGTCAGACATCGCATTTAAAAAAAAAGGAGAGAAGAAAAAAAACGAAAGAAAGAAAAAAAAGAGAGAAACGATGTCCTTCAACTTCAACGTCCTAGAAACCCGAGGTGCTAGCGTTCATTAAAGAAATTCTACAAAAAGGTAAAAATCCAGGTACAGAGTAGAACTAAGATCGAAAAGGCTAAGTTGAGATAAGAATAGATTCGGAAATAGACTTGGTGAGTTGTAGAGATTCTAATGGGTTCTAGGTAGCAATAAAAATCCCATGGCTAGGTAGATTAGTCTTTGGTAGGAAGATCATAGTAGACCGGTTTGAGTACGATTCTCGGGAAACTAGTATTGGATGGATGTTTCGCTTTTGATTTCTCGCGATGATACTCTTTGATATTCGTCATTCCCTATGGTGCAGAATTTATTCCTTCGTTCTTTACTCGAGGACGAGCAAAGGTTTAAGTCTGGGGGGATTTGATAACTCCTATTCTTCTCTATATTTTGATGAGAGTTTGTCTAGGTTTTATAGGATAATCACATGCATTCATAGGCATTCTAGGCGTGTTAGGATACAAAACCCGGTTGTGCTCTAGTTTTGCAGAGTTACAGGTTTCGAAGATGATTGGACTCGAAAAGGAGCCATTTGGAGCGTTAAAGGAGAAGTCCGGATGAGATACTCATGTTGCGACATCAATAACTTTCTCTACAGAGGTCCAAATCGTGCGAGACCTATACCATTGGGATCAAAATCAATAGGATAGATCGTATTATTCACATAGAGATATGGCTTAATCGATCTAGGGTTGATGATAGCGTTCTTTATGCACCTAGGGTTAACTTGAATAGATCGAGAGATTGACGAGTTACTCTGT